GACTAAAAAATGGGCTATCAGGCCTAAGAGAAGTGAAGTTGAAGAATTCTCCCTTTTAACATCAGAACCACCACGGGAGATCGTGCCCTTTTGCTCTGAAACTTGATCTGCTTAACCCAAGGCTGATTGGCAAGTACTTTAATCCTTTAACCTCCTTTCTGTTACCTCTTTGCTGTGCTATTGTTCTTTGTATATTTATATATATATTGGTTACATCTTTTTTCTGTAAATATTTTTATTGCACCCTTTTGACCTTTTTAGTAATAAATCTTTCTTTCTGAAAGTGTTGAACTGTTTCTATAGCTCGTTAATGCAACTTACGAATTCCTGCCTCTAAAAGAGCGCTACTGTGTTTGTTTAATCCTCTGTATAACCTGTCTGCAGTGGCAGTGCTATACAGACGATTATCTCAACCATCATAGTGTTATTGCTGATATTGCCGAGTTTCCTCTTTCTCTGTACAAAAAGGAGGTGGTGGCAGTGTGAAGGGTTAATTGCGTAATTGACTTGACCCAGTAACAATCGCATTCAGGCTGCCGGTACATCGATTGGTGGTCCATTAGCTGGAAAATCGTTGTGCAGGGTGCAGCTGGGTGTGGCATTGTTCCCCACGTGACATCGCGGTTTTAGATTGGCTAGTCCTTCGGTCACGAGTTTGGTGAGAAGGTCAGGGGTCTGAGGCCGTGATCGTCACAACCACCACAAGGGTTGGCTGCTGGAACATATGGGGAAGCCTAAGAAAAGTGAGTACTCACTTCAATGTTTTATTGAGCCCTCCCAGGAATAAAGTGTCAAGGGTGTAAATCCAGAATGTTTCCCTTTGGCAGAGACATTTGAATCATCCTGGGGATGGACTCAATGACCCAGACCCTAAGTTCAAAAGAGGAATTATCATGAAATTCCAGAAAATGTCTTGGAACGCTATGTTTGTCGATTCTTCTTCTTCGACCAAATGTCGGTGTTCCCCAAACCTTTTTCGGAGAGTGCGTGTAGTCCTGCCAACATAGAAAAGTCCACATTGGCAGGTCAGCCAGTAGACTACATGGTCAGAAGAACAGTTGTAAAATTCGTTAATGGGATAATTCTTACCCTTGACAGTAAAGTTCCTCTGGCCATGTTGGACATGCTTAAAGTTAAAGGGCATTTATCAATGCTGCTAGTTTGCCTGCTTATGGAAAAAAAGAAAAAAGATGAGTGTAAGGTCATTGAGTCATTGAGTCCATCTCCAGGATGCTCCCTGCAGCAGAGTGATTCAAACATCTCTGCCAAAGGGAAACGTTCTGGCTTTACGCCCTTGACACTTTATCCCCAGGAGGCCTCAATGAAGACATTGAAGTGAGTGCTCTCTTTTCTTAGGCTTTCCCATATGTTCCAGTGGCCAACCCTTGTGGTGGCCAATACAGTATGTTCATACAAATTTTGTAATACTCTAGCCTATGTCCCCCCTCCCTAAATACTTTATCTTCTACCCAGGTCAGCCCCCACACTAAAACTGTACAGGATCGATATGGCCCTTCTGCCACATCTCTCAGGCTGTACCCCACACTTATGTAGTCTTATACATATAAATATGTAGCAGATAATTTATACCTATGTATTTAGATCCATATAAACCATTACCCTCTTTATATCACTTTTATATACTTCTTTATATATTTATTTACATTTTTTATTATACCACTATTTTGTTTTTCCCATTCTTAGTAAAGCAATGTTTATACCCCATTTTATAACAGGATGGCTGGTGATTGTAGTTCCACCATGAGGTGCACCACTTTCCCCCTATGTGCATGTCATCAGAGGGTTAATGACCTTCATATTCATGTTTTTAATTATGGTTTTAATTGTGTTAGTACTCATTTGTTCACCCGCCACTCCCCTTTTAATTTGTGTATGCTTGTTTTATGTTGTCTCATGAGGCTACGGACTTGTAATATGAGCCGTCTGTTTTGCCCATATACAGTTAGGTCCATACATATTTGGACACAGGCACAATTTTCATATTTATGGCTCTGTATGCCACCAGAATAAATTAAAACGAAGTGTAGACTTTCAGCTTTAATTCAAGGGGTTGAACATAAATATCATGTACAAATTTAGGAACTGCAACCATTTTTATACACAGTCCCTCCATTTTCAGAGGCTCAAATGTAATTGGACAAATGAATTTTATCATAAATAAAATGTTCATTTTTAATATTTTGCTGAGAATCCTTTACTGGCAATGACTGCCTGAAGTCCGGAACCCATTACCAAAGACTGGGTTTCCTCCTTTCTGATGCATTGCCAGGCAGCTGTCTTCAGTTGTTCTTTGTTAGTGGGTCTTTCTGCCTTTAGTTTTCCCTTTAGAAAGTGAAATGCATGCTCAGTTGGGTCGAGATCAGGTGATTGACTCGGCCATTGCAGCATATTCCAATTATTTTTTTTTTTCAAAAGCTCCTGGGTTGCTTTTGCAGTGTGTTTTGGATCATTGTCCATTGTCCATGCTTTTCCAGAACTGGTCTAGCTTTTTTAGATGTTTTTTGGGAAGGTTTAATCTGGCTTTTCTAGTCTTCAGGCTTATGAATAGTTTGTACCTTGTGGTGAACCCTCTGTATTTGCTCTCCTGAAGTCTTCTCTTGATTGTAGACTTTGACAATGATACGCCCACCTCTTGAGGAGTGTCCTTCACTTTTCTGAATGTTATGAATGGGTTTTTCTTTACCATAGAGAGGATCCTGCGATCATCTACCACTGTCGTCCATGCCTTTTTATGTTGCTGAGCTCACTAGTGCGTTATTCTTTCCTCAGAATGTACCAAACTGTTGATTTGGCCACTCTTATTTGTTGCTGCTATCTCTCTGATGGATTTGTTTCATTTTTTTAAGCCGTACAATGGCCTGTTTCACTTGCATGGACAGCTCCTTTAAACGCATGACGTAGGTTCACAGCCATAGATTCCAAGTGCAAATACCACACTTAGAATCAACTCCAGACCTTTTACCTGCTTAATTGATGAAGAAAAAATGAAGGAGTAGCCCACACCTGGCCATGAAACAGCTTTTGATTCAATTGTCCAATTAGTTTTGGTCTCTTGAAAAAGGGGGGATGGCTACTTTTAAGAGCTGTAATTCCTAAACCCTTCCTCCAAGTTGGATGTATATACCCTGAAATTAAACCTGAGAGCGTGCACTTTCAGCCCATACCCATTATATAACTATAGCTTGAATATGTTTTGGTAAATACCTGAAAAAAACTAAAATTGTGCCTGTGTCCAAATATATATGGACCTAACTGTATACCTCTCCTAAGATGGTGTCAGGAATGGACTAGCCAGCAATGGTGGGACTCACCTGCCTTTTGATCTGCAGTACCAGGGCTGGCCAGCGGATGCTCCCAGCAATCAGAGACTCAACTTTGCAGCCAGCTAACACCTGGAACTGATTATGCTGGGGTATTTAAGGGATGGCCAGACTTGCAGACTCTGCCTTGGTGTTGTGTTTCTCTTGGGCCCTGTATCCTGTTCCTGCTCTCTGTTCCTGTCTGATTCTCTGCTACCTGTTCTGATCCCTGGCTTGTCTGACCATCCCTCTGCCTGACCCTCTGTACTATGCTGCCTGCTACCTGTTCTGATCCCTGGCTTGTGACCCTGACCATCCCTCTGCCTGACCCTCTGTACTACGCTGCTAGCTACCTGCTGAACCTGGCCTGTGACCCCGACCAATCTCCGCTTGCTCCCCCTGTACCTACCTGCCCTATTGATATTGACCCGGCCTGCCTGACGACGCTTGCTTGTATGTACTGTTATCTGTGGGTGGTTGGTTTGTTTGCACTGTATTATGTTTAGTATTGCACTGCGTTTATGTTTGTATTGTTAGTGTTAATAAATTATATTGTTTATCACATATCTGAAGTCTGCGTTTTCCCTGCGTCAGTCACACACCTCTGGTCACACCTGGGAGCCCTGACATTACACCAAGGCCAATCCTGACCAGAAGTGGCTGCACAGGGAAGCCATCTTGGCTTGTTGCTGGGAAGGATGGATCTGGATGAGGTTGTGTATTTATATCTGCTAGTGTTTGATGACAGGGAGTATGCTTATCAAACTCTGAAGGAGTATCCCAGGGATCAACTACTAGAATGTATACGGCTCGCTCATGTTCTAGTAGATCAGGGCACAGAGTTCTCTGAGGTGCAGCCATTGATTGAGGTTTGTGCTGAGTTGGTTTCATCTGGTTCCCCCGAATGCTGGGATGAATTTTTGCCACCATTTAGTGCAGACCAGGTAGAGTCCCTGGTGTGGTTATTAGAGGATGATGTGGGTTACTTTCTGGAGCGTTATTCCACATGTTCACCACAGACACTAAGAGATTGTATATAAACGCAGTGCAGTCATTGACCAGACAGGCTTTGTGTAAGCTCAGCTTTGTTCAACCCATACTGCAGACATGGACAGACTTGTTGCACCCAGCCTCAGTCAGCTTACAAAAACCCAGTCCTGCTTCTAACTCTACTCCTGTATTCCCACCAGCTCCTCCAGTTATAGCCCAGTATACTTGGCTATCTACCGCATGTCAGTACCCTGTTCCCACTTGCTGCACCTATCCTGCCTTTAACCCTGTAAAAAAGCCCTCTGTAGCAACTGCTCCCTCTCCTGTTCCATCCTCCAGTTTTTCTCTGTCTCCAGCTGCTCCATTCGTTTGCAGACCTGCGTTTTTACTTGCAGTGCTCCAGTAGTTTAAACCCAAAAAAGCGAAAATTCTTTCCAACCAATACCATCCTGCCAGTATCCAAACCGTTGAACCTGCCTTCCGTGACTCAGCCTGAAGCCTCTACTCAGCCTGAAGCCTCTACTTCGGCCTGAAGCCTCTACTCGGCCTGAAGCCTCTACTCGGCCTGAAGCCTCTACTCTGCCTGAAGCCTCTCTACTCGGCCTGATGCCTCTACTCGGCCTGATGCCTCTACTCGGCCTGATGCCTCTACTCGGCCTGATGACTCGGCCTGATGCCTCTCTTCGGCCTGATGCCTCTCTTCGGCCTGAAGCCTCTACTCGGCCTGATGCCTGCATTCAGCCTGATGCCGCTACTCAGCATGATGAACTGATCCAGCCCAACGATCCTATTAGGCCAGTTGACTCGATGCCCGCTGTTGATCCAGATGATCCGGTACCTGATCCAGTGCCCGCTGTCGTGCCAATTGACTCAGAGCCCGCTGTCATACCTGGTGACCCGGTGCCCACTGCCTTGCCAGATGACGCGGGTGCCCGCTGGCAAGCCAAATGACCTGATGCCTGGTGACCCAATGCCCGCTGTCATACCTGGTGACCCGATGCCCGCTGTCGAGCCAGACAATCCGATACCAGATGACCCAGTGCCCACTGTCGTGCCTGTTGACTCGGAGCCCACTGTCTTGCCAGACGACTCGGTGCCCACTGTTCCGCCAGTTGACTCGGTGCCCCCGCAGTCTTGCCAGACGACTCGGTGCCCGCAGTCTTCCCAGACGACTCGGTGCCCGCAGTCTTGCCAGACGACTCTGTGCCCGCTGTTCCGCCAGTTGACTCGATGCGCCGCAGATGCCCGCAGTCCTGCCCAATGTGCCTCTGCCCGGAGTCCTGCCCAATGTGCCTCTGCCCGGAGTCCAGCCCGATGTGCCTCTGCCCGGAGTCCAGCCCGATGTGCCTCTCTGCCCGGAGTCCAGCCCGATGTGCCTCTGCCCGGAGTCCAGCCCGATGTGCCTCTGCCCGGAGTCCAGCCCGATGTGCCTCTGCCCGGAGTCCAGCCCGATGTGCCTCTGCCCGGAGTCCTGCCCGGGTGTGCCTTTGCCCAATGTGCCTCTGCCCGGTGTGCCGCTGCCCGGAGTCCTGCCCGGTGTGCCGCTGCCCGGAGTCCTGCCCGGTGTGCCAGTCTTTGATATCCCGCCAGTTACCAGACCCGGGCGGTGGAACATTTTGCCCAGCTAGGACTGTTTGGAGCGTCCTGAGGCCGCTCCTTAAGGGGGGGGTACTGTCAGGAATGGACTAGCCAGCAATGGTGGGACTCACCTGCCTTTTGATCTGCAGTACCAGGGCTGGCCAGCGGATGCTCCCAGCAATCAGAGACTCAACTTTGCAGCCAGCTAACACCTGGAACTGATTATGCTGGGGTATTTAAGGGATGGCCAGACTTGCAGACTCTGCCTTGGTGTTGTGTTTTTCTCTTGGGCCCTGTATCCTGTTCCTGCTCTCTGTTCCTGTCTGATTCTCTGCTACCTGTTCTGATCCCTGGCTTGTCTGACCATCCCTCTGCCTGACCCACTGTACTACGCTGCCTGCTACCTGTTCTGATCCCTGGCTTGTGACCCTGACCATCCCTCTGCCTGACCCTCTGTACTACGCTGCTAGCTACCTGCTGAACCTGGCCTGTGACCCCGACCAATCTCCGCTTGCTCCCCCTGTACCTACCTGCCCTATTGAAATTGACCCGGCCTGCCTGACGACGCTTGCTTGTATGTACTGTTATCTGTGGGTGGTTGGTTTGTTTGCACTGTATTATGTTTAGTATTGCACTGCGTTTATGTTTGTATTGTTAGTGTTAATAAATTATATTGTTTATCACATATCTGAAGTCTGCGTTTCCCTGCGTCAGTCACACACCTCTGGTCACACCACTGGGAGCCCTGACAGATGGCTTCCCCATGGCCTGAAGAAGGAGCGCATGCTCCGTTACGTGTTGCCATTTTTGGTCATCATTTCTGTTTGTGACGTCACTTCCACCTGCCTTGCTGCATTCCACGCCAATCAGGAAGCCCTGGGAACCTCCAGAACATTCTGTCAGTGGGCCCACAGTCTCAATCTCCTGCGGTCCGGGACTGGTATTGATGATAGCGTTCACAGAGTTATATATGCCTAGTCACATCTTCCTTTGTGAGTGCATTTGCTTATGATCATTAAAATGTTGATCTTAATACTACTCCTAGATGACGTTTGTTTTTTTCTTTGCTTTTCACTGTAACTTTCCCCCCAGTATTGACAACTAACTGTCAGGAAAGGCCTGCCCATAGTGCAGGTGAAGTTCTGCAGCGCACAAATATGTGCATGCGCAGAGTTCTTACGAGCCGAACAGATGTGTGGGTGCTTGGACGTAGGTGCGCACACGTGCAAGTGCACATGCGCACTCGTGCATACAGGCGCACGCCTGTCACTAATGCTGGTGCCAAAAGGGCTATTTAAACTTGCTGCAGTAGATGTCCCATTGCCATATGGTCTTATCCCTGCTTGTGTTCCCTGATTCCTGTGATTGTCTTCTGATATCGAACCAGCTTGTTCCTGACCTTCGCTTGACCACTACCTGCCCTGACCTCTGGCTTGCCTTGGATCACCCTTCTGTCTCCGCTCCTGTCTGATTGATGCTGACCTGGCCTGTGACCCGACTACTCTTCCTCATGCCGCTTTAAGCCTGATCTACCTAACTAATACTGAACCCGGTTCATCCGACCCTGCATCCTCAGCACGCTGTTCTTGGGTATCTATCCATCCAGCACGGCTGCATCAGAATCCTGCTTTCTGCATCCGGCCTGAAGCTCATCTGCTTACCAGCTATTACTGGACTGGTCACAGGCACTCATACCACACCGTGCCCCTGTGGCCGCTGTCTCACCATCAGCGGTCCTTGAGCCGGAGTTGTACGGGAAGCCTGCCTCTTCACGCCAGGCTCACTATCCAGGTACATGACACTAACCCCTGCATTAAGGTAAAACATATTCTACCACTTGTGCCCCCAACATCCCCCCCCCAAACACTTACCTGGGTCCCCTCTTAATCTCTTAATGCTGTACCTGATTGCAGTTCTTCTCTCCCCTCTTCCTGGTCTCACAGGAGTCTCTGAGAGGAACGGGAGCCATTGACTTCTGCTGCTGTCAGTCAAATCCTGTGAAAGAGAGAGCGGTTGGCGTGGCCGAGCTGTGGTGAGTGTGTCTATGAAAGCACACAGCCCAACTCAGGAATGCACCTGCATAGCAAGCCATGTGCTATGGGGGCACACAGGAGGAGGGGAGCCTTCAGCACCTGCAGGGAACCAAAAAATAGCAGGTAGGGGACCGCTCTGTGCAATACCATTGCACAGAACAGATGAGTAAATCCCCTTTTACTCATATAAACAAAAATTTTAGTCTTTACAATCGCTTTGAAATACGACCCTTAACAGATTTTAATCTTTGACCCAGTCATCCCACTAACCTTAATCTTGAAGGTGAAGCTGTGAAAATAGAAACCAGGACTGTCATTAAGGGAAGTCTGGAAAGTCTTAAAGTGTTACTAAACCCACAACAGTAAAATCAGACTGTATATGCAGTAAAGCACTGTCCCCAATCCATTTGCTGATAGTACAGAGCTCTAGGAGTCACTTTGCGCATGCTCAGTTTAGTGCGTATTGCTAGAGGTTTTTTTTCTTTAGGAGGGTGCATGTGATCAGCACAGGGCCAATCAGCGCTGTCCAGACAGAGGGTCAGGGGTTATGCAGCCACATAGGACATTCAGAGCAGAATGAAAACTCCTCCTACAAGCTTTAACCAGTGCTCAGCTGGACACTCATAGAAGTTGCAAGACTGCTATATACTGCTGATGAGAAAAAGTATTTAGCAGTTTATATTTACTAAAATAATTGTATTTCCATGTTATGTGTACTGTGAGAGACCAGATATAGTGAATGCAGGGTCCTGGGTTTAGAAACACTTTAACTTCTGTTCAGTATGCTTGTCCCAGGTCATTGCCTCACTAGTTAGAAAAGCCAAGATGAGAATGACAGCCCTGAAGCTTGCACCTTTTTTTAAACAAGTCTTTAATGGCGGATTTCATATTTCTATTCGCACAGGTTCATTTTAAGGTAGCACTGACATAACTCTGCTATAAAACCGGATACTTATCTTATCAGCACTAAAAGCATCCCTCACCAAATTCTTACAGTCCTGCACAAAGATCTTAGAGAGCTGATATATTGGTGCTGAAATGAAATGATTCTCTTGGCAGAGATGTAGCGGCTATCTAACACAGAAAAGAACTTGAAAAATGACTTTCTCTTAAGAATGTCTTGAATGGACAGTTATATTGTATTGCAACACTATAATTTTCTATTGAGGTACCAGTCTTATCTTTCTATTGGCTGTATTCATTTCTAATTTTTATAGTTTTAGATTTACTCTCTAGATTTAGTAAATGTTCAGAAATAGAATAAAATTAAACGTCCTATAGGAAATATAGAGGGTGTTTTAGTATATATTTTGAGTTATTATTATAGTGTTTACATTATAGTGATTTTGGTGTGACTTTCACATGTTTCGTGCTTGCTATTGTATAATATTTAGTTTGGATTAAATAAATAGATTTGTAGATTAGCTACTAGAGGGAGCAAACACTCCATTTGTAATCACTCATCCTCCCTTTTTAACAGTTGAGACATCAGCCATACAGGAAGATAATTATTTTATTAAGTCAACTGACTTATTGACCTGTATTGTGGGAAGGAATAGTAGGACCTCTTTCACACGGGGTGAACTCCCACTGAGCAGGCAGATGACAGTTTGATGAACCAGCCCACTGTCCTCTATGGGAAGTCAGATGTCAACAGACCAGCTGCCCCTTTTGCACCCAACTTCCCTCCAATCTCATCTGGCCAGGCGGAGGGGAACAGATCCCCCCTTTAGTTTGTTTTTGCTGGATCGGATTGGTGGTAGGCAGGTGTAAAAATAGACACAAGTCCGTTTATACCCACTGCTCCATAGTGCAGAATGGATGGTTCGATTGGGTCCTATTGAAAATCAGACAGGCAGACCCAATCGGAACGTTCGTGTGAAGGGGGCCTAAAGCACAACCATTGTGTGGCACTGCACAGGTGGCTCCAACAGCACCAATCAGCCATAACATTATGATCACTGACAGGTAAAGTGCATAACATTGAATATCTTGTGACAATGGCATCTGAAAGTGGGTGGGATAATTAGGCAGCAAGTGAACATGCTGTCCCTGAAGTTGGTGTGAAGCAGAAAAAAAATGGGCAAGTGAAACTATTTGAGCCACTTTGACAAAGGCCAAATTATAATGACTAGACAACAGGGTTAGAGAAACTTTAAAACTGCAGCTGTTGTGGGATGTTCTGGGTCTGCAGTAGTCAGGACCTACCAAAATTAATCCAAAAAAGGATAACTGGCAAAATGGCGACAGGGTCATGGGTGGGCAAGGCTATTTGATGCATGTGGGGAGCAAAGGCTGACCCATGTAGTCCAATTCAATGCAAGAGCTACTGTAGCTAAGATTGTGGAAAACGTTAATACTGGTTCCAATAGAAAGGTATCAGAACACACAGTGCAGTGCCACAGACCAATCAGGGTGGTCCTGCTGACGCATGTCCACAGTCAAACGCCCCTACAGTGGATACATGAACATCAGAAGTAGTCCTGGTCTGGTGAATCAAATTATTTCTTTTAC